GCTTATGACAACAATGACAATGGTGATGAAGATTGTGGTAATAACGGTAATGGTGACGGTGGTGGTGGTAATGGTAGCAGTGGTGGCAGTAGTGGTGATGGTAATGGTGGTAGTAACATGATGGTGGTGGTGGTAGTAATAGCGGTAATGGTGATGACAACAATGGTGGCATGGTGATGGTGGTACTGGTTGCAATAATGGTAGCGATGGTGGTTGTAGTGGTGGAGGTGGTAGGGGTATTGAGTTTATAATAATGTATATTGATACTTAAATTTAATATTTATAAATTTAGAGTGCTGCTATTAGCACCTACCAAAATTCTTTGGACCTCCCATTTCTTTGGATCTCAACCCTAAACCCTAAATTTTAATAATATTTTTTTGGACACCCCACTTATTACCAAATCTACCCATATTCATAATATTTTCACAATGAAATGCACACCCACCTAATTTTTGATCCCTCTTCTTCCCTGAATCACTCAATTTTCAGAGTTTGGAGCTTTGGTCCAGTATAAAATTCTTGGACCCCAACCCTCCATCACTCTCGTCGCCGTCTCGGCCGTCAACGGAGCATTCCGATGACTCTTATCTTCTCTGAACGCTCTTCGTATCGTCGAATCAGTAACCTCTCTCATCATCATCTTCTTCGTTGTTTTTTGTATCTTCGTCATCGCTGAGATCGATCGAAAATACTTCAATGTCTATGGCATTTGCATAACCGTTTGCAAGATGAGGAAAAATAGAATCATCGTCTGAATCGCCATCAGAATCATCATCTGAATTGCCATCAGAATTCTGAATGTAGCCCAAAACAATTTGTTCACCATTGTGCAGTCGAAAAAATGTATTTTGTTCAGAATTATTTTGTTGAACAATAATGATCCTGTCAGCACTGTATGTCCGAACAAAATTTGTTCATCATTATGTAACTTGAATCCATTCCAATTCACAACTTAAAATAACATAAATTAAATCCATTCAAAATACATAACTTAAATCCATTCCAATTCACTCTTTTCCATTCTAAGTTAGTTTAACAAAGAAAATTACATAACTAACTATCTGCATTAATGTTCAGAACCTATGTATTGAACCAAAGGATTATGTTCAGTACTGTATTACCAAACATAATTCTAACAGTTAGCAAACCAGTACCGAACAGCTCGAACGAAACAAGAACGATCGAAAACGACCGAGAATGTTAATACAAGACAGATAAACTTATCAATGGAACGCCGGTCTCACTAGAATTGTTGTCCTCGCCCTCCATTGCTCTACACAGTGAAATAAGTGATGAAGTATACGTTATACTTGAAGCAAAACTTTCAAGTTCAATAGCGTTGATGATGGTGATGAAGATGATACATTCAGGATTTAAAATGATTATGAAAAATAATAGATTTAGGATTTATGTTAGTTGGTTATGAAAAGTAATACGTTTAGGGTTTACAAACATGGAATACGTATAGTTGGAGTTGGAGGTGGGAGTGAGGGTGGGTGTCCAATATTATAGAGTATTAGTTCTTATTGATAGGTGAGTGTTCCATTTAATAATGTCTTTTAATGTAATTTTACTTTAGGGTATAATTGTAATAAAAAAAATTATAAAATGGGGGGTCCAAAGAATTTTGACAGGTGCTAATAGTAGCATTCGAAATTTAATCAGAATTAAATAAGTTTCATATGATTTAAAATTTTCTTGAATTTTAGGTTACATTTTAAGAGGTAATTAATTTTTTAATAATTATGATTATCAAACGGGCTTAATTAATTCTCACTTAATACAAAATTTCCAAACTCTTTTGGACCCGATTGCTCTAATTCAAGTGAGAGTAGGAGAAGTGGTCCTTTCAGAGGGAATCATGCAAAAGGAAGGGATTTGGCGGGGTAGCTGCCTCGGGGATGGATAAGAATCAATGTAGATGGTGCGGTCATCGACTCTTCTGGCTATGTATAGGGATGCAAATTGTGCCCGGCCCGACCCACCCAGGCCCAAGCTCAGGTCGGCCATGTCAGACCGCTCGGGTCCTACCAAAATTCGGGTCAGGCCACAAGCTAGAAAATTAGGCTCAAGCTCAGGCCTAGAGGTATTCGGGCCTTGAACAGGCCTAGGCCTAGGCTCGGATTTGCTTCGAGCCTGGGCGAGCCTAAACATTTTATTTTCTATTTTTTCTACCAAAAGTTTATTCTTTTCCACTAAAAATGACACTGGGACTTGGGTGGGCCGAGCCTCGGGCAAGCCGATGGGTCGGGACGACCTTCAAAATGATGACCTAGGCCCAAGGTCTCGGGCTAGGCTTGGGCTTGGGCCTAAGCGGGCTAGGCTCGAGCTTGGGCATAAGTAGACTGAGCCCACCTCAATCTGCGGGCGCGCCGTCCACAGGCCGTAGGCCATTTTCACACCCCTAGCTATGTAGCAATTGGATGTTTAATCCGGTCATGTAAAGGTCATTGGCAGGTGGGTTTTCAACACTGTATCGGGACTGCTCATTGCCTTCATGTAGAACTTCAGGCCATATATGGTAGGGGCTATGGCTTTGTGCTGCTGGAATCGGATCTCAAGAGTGTGCAATTGATAATTAATTTTGATGAATATAATTCGAAAGCCGTACTAGGACGGCAAATCAAGGAGTTGACCGCTAAAGATTGGTGCTATGAGATTGGTTTTGTGCCTCGAGAGGTGAATGAATGAGTGTGCTGACAACCTGGCGTAAGCGGCTTTAGATGCTTGGTCTAGCCACCAAATCTTGCGAGATGGAAGGTTGAATTTAGGAGAAAGTGCTAGAAATGGTTTGGAAAAAACAGGCTTTTCCTAAACTTTAGTCTATTTTTAAAGTAGAACTCATGAGCCAAAGTTGGCGGGTCTATGTGGCAACGTGTTCTTTGTCGTGTGACAATTCATGTCGAATATTTGGTTGCTCAAAACCATTATCGGGTAAATGAGATATTGATGCTAAAGTGAGCTCTATGAAAATGGTGTTTTGGTTAGTTTTCCACAAGGAATGAAGAAAAGCTTGTACCACATTGCTTAGGTGGGCAAACATGTTGTGGGTTTATAAGCCTTAAGTTTGCATCTTGGAGAAGACCTCAAGGGGCACCCAAGTTTTGTGGAGGGAGAGTTATGGGTAAAGTGCGCCTTAACCCATTGGACCCAAAAACAACCACGTGCACGCTGCCGCCTAGATGGGGCGCAGATGTGAGGTTGGGTTGGGCTTGTGTTATCCAGTCCAATGCTTATCTTTTTAGGCCAAAAACTTTTGAATTTTATTTATTTATATTTTTTAATTAAATTCCTACCGTTTGGAATTTAAATTTCCATTTGAAATTCAAAATAAATTTTGTTTTGACCTTAAAACAACCACACGGGCCCGCCACCGCCCGCTAGTCCGAATCGGACCAAATGCAAGTGTGAAGTTGGGATGGGCTTGTGTTGTCCAGTCCAATACTTATCTTTTTGGGCCAAAAGCTTTTGAATTTCATTTGTTTATATTTTTTAATTAAATTTCTACCATTTGGAATTTAAATTTCTATTTGAAATTCAAAATAAATTTCTTTTTGATCCCAAACACAACCACACACGTGCGTCGCTACTAGCCAATCTGAACTGGACCATGCGCGAGTGTGAAGTTGGATTGGGCTTGTGTTGTCTAACCCAATGCTTATTTTTTTGGGCTAAAACCTTTTGAATTTTATTTGTTTATTTCTTTTAATTAAATTCCTACCATTTGGAATTTAAATTTTTGCTTGAAATTCAAAATAAATTCCTTTTTGACCCCAACATTTCTGAACGTTGGCAGTTTGGTCCAACACACCTTTCTAGCTTTTCCCTTAAACATTTAATTTTTTGTTTTCCAGATTCTGTTTTATTTCTATAATAAAAAAGAATCTGTTTTTCCATAGTTTAATTTTATATATTCTAATTCAATGTCTAGTACTCGAACAAAATCGCTTCTTTCTTAAACTATTCTTCGAATACAGTAAATATTGTCTGACATAGAGGTTATGGAAAGAGATGCAATTGTGGGAGCTCCTAATTCAGCAATAACATAGTTTGTTTTCTTTGGCTTCGGCCACCATTGTACCTGAAAAAAAGAAAAAAAAGAAAAAAAAAAGTGCTAAATCAACTTATCAAACACTCCCTTAGATTATTACTTAAATTTAAGTGTCTTTACAAAACACATTTTTAATGATAAAATGTGTATATAAACCGCGTTAATATCATAAAATTAGGAATCTATGTTGAGGAAAAAAAATATACGGTTGAAAGGGACGTGTGCCTAGTTTTGTTGACAATTGACCCCAAAATGGACAATTTTCCCCCTTATACCTAAAAATTAACATTTTAAAACTAAGTTGTCATTCAAATGTTACTTTAACCCATAATTAACTTGCTCTACTGAGCTCCGTTTTATTTTTATTTTTTTTTCTTCAGTAAGTGGGGTTTTGAGCCCCTTTTTTTTCCCAGTAAGTTTGCATGCACAAGGGGAATGTGCATGCCTAGTTTGGTGGACAAAAAATCCTGAATGGATCATTTTGCCCCCATACCTAAAATTTTACATTTTTCGAGCTAAGTAGTCATGCAAATCTTAAGCTATTCCATAACAGCTCTTTTGAGTTCTGTTTTTTCCCGCAAGTTTGTATGTATGAAAGGAATGTGTGATGGTGGTGGCAATGGAGGCATCAATGACAATGGATAATGATGATGTTGTGGTGATGGTTGTAGTGGCTCTAGGGTACAGTGGCAACAGTTGTGCTGTGTAGTCGTAGAAGTGGAATCAGTAATAATGGTATTGAAGTGGCTGTGGTAGCACTATGGTGGCTAAATTGTGGTACTAGAGTCATAGCGGTGACAATAGTAGCAGCAACAATAGTGGGAATGGTTTTTTTAGAATAGTGGTGGTGGTGACAATAAGAGTGGTATTGGTGGTAATGATTGACCCAACAGTCGTAGGCCAGTAAGAAAAATATTTTTCCACCTCTAATAAATAAAAAATAAAATAAAACAAAATAAGTACCAAATCCAATCATTTTCTAGACTACAAAAACAATCTCGGTTGACAATTATTTTTCATTATACAAAAAAAAAATCCAAAAACTGTTTTCACCCAAACAAAATCTCCATAATGTTTTAGTAAAAATTCTGTTTGTTTATCTCCTTTCATCACCATTACTTTCATAGCTCAAAATGGCACCTTCCAACAGCAGCAGATGATACAAGCGTAACTTGGACTTGGACTTGGACTTGAGTAGATGTGTATGAGAAGTATGAAATAAGCAAGTAAAATTCCTTTCCCTCACAACAAACAGCAACGGTGAAACAAGCACGGGATAAGAATCAGATTGACTCCACTATTGGCCCTCATTCACCGGATCTCTATGGTTAGAGGCCCGAGAGCTTAAATCCTTTTCACCTTGCCTAGTCTCCTCGGATTCTGACATTTTGGGAAGAGAATCTTCAAGTGCCTCAAGGAAAGACAGAACAGTGAACTTGTCTGCAAAAAAAGAAGAGATAACTATTGACCGTGAAAATAGTGTATGTAATACATATCAACCACCAAACTAAATACAGTCTTGGCTACTCTGAGCTAAACCAAATCGGTTAATTGATCATTCAGTTACGGCTATAGATTTTAAACCAACATTTTCTCCGCAATGTACAACTTTATGGAGCTGAGACTGATTCAACAACTCAAACTAATAAAGCCAACAAAGCCTCACTTTACTTATCAAATTCCTTTTCCTTTTTGAGATAAAAAAAATCAAAATCATTTTCTCCACAGTTTGCCAACTCTGGACCTGAAAGAGCTCTTATAACACTAAAAGCGATATAATCAGCAGATAAAAATAATTTGTCCTGAAATTAATCACAAACAAATTAAAGTCACCAAATTAATAATTTATCCAGTCATTGGGAGGTTGAAACTGTTGCTGGCTTACATTTACTTGGGTCAATTCCAAATTGAGTGAGATCTATCTGTCCAGTTCGAAGCACCTAAACAAAGAAGAAATCATAAGGCTCATAAAATTGGCCGATATTATACAAAAATATAAATTCATAATAGAAAGACAGGTGGTTGTTGTTGTTTGGGGGGGAACAATTTCTCACATAAGTAAATGAATCTATTTGTTGGCGGAAAGGAGGGCTCTGCAGTAAATCCATTAACTCCTCTGGAGTCCATTGGCCCTGCAATATCGCAACAATCTTCAGGAAAAAAAAAAAAAGCATTAACAAAAAATTTAATGAATCAACAGAACTCAAAAAAGACTTACCTCAGGTAAATATGATGTCAGCTGCTCTTCCATTGGAAGAGTCTCTAGTAAAGGGAATATCAAATCGGGCTTCAAAATATCCCCCAATCCAAAGCCTAAAGACCAGTGCAAAAGAGGAGAATCATATTATGGAAAAAATTAGTCAATGCACAGGAGATATTAGTATGAGACCCCATATATCTTCTCATTCAATAGGGTCATAAATCTTACAGAACAATTTAATGACTCTTTTTACATGTCACAATTGAGAGCTCCTAGGAAATAATTAACCTGAAGACATTCTTTAGTTAACCATCCAAGGAGCGGATCTGTAGACTGTCATATGTGGATCATGATAATGGTGTCAATTGCAGGCATATGTCTAAGAATTAGATTCATCCAACTCCCGACTCCCACAACACCAAAACCCGGCTAAATATTTGTATCTCTTACTGTATAGATCACAAGCACTTTACTACTTTGAAGCAACTTTTTTTTTTTTGCCGTGATAAATATAACCCTTCTTTCCAAAGTAATAATGAAATGGGTAAATTACAAATATACACCCCCTAAGGTATCTAACAAATACAATTGACTCCTTCAGGTTCTAGAAAATATATCCCGCTTTTTAAGATTTTAAATTGTGTAATAAATACCCCTTCCCTCAGTCAACTGTTACGTCAACTAACAGATTAGATGATGTTAACAGCTCTACTTATTAAAATACGTATTTTACCCTCCCGATTTTTTCTTCTCCTCTATCAAAATACCCTTCTTCTTCTATATATATACGCATACAGTTAAACTACTGCTATGGTATTGCAAAATATAGAAAAAAAAAAAAGAAGAGAGAAGAGTTTCAATGGATTAAACTAGTCTTGTAACAAGTTGATATAGTTAGACGAGCCTCAGTTTGAAGAAAATTCGTAGGTCGTTGGAAGAGTTCTACTGTTGTGGCTCAAGTATAACCTACTGGTGTAATAAAGATTTTGCTTAACATGCATGTCATTTACAATAGATAACATGCCAATTCAAGAATAGATGCTCATCTCTTACATGCTTAAGGTTTGGTATCTGAAGAACAGGCCTTTGCCATTTGAGATATTTAGAGTTGTCTGATACAGAAGTTGGAAGAAATGGCTTCCATCATGAGGCAAAAGGAGAGGTTGGTAGAGAGGAAGGAGAAACAGGGTAATTTTGTTTTGGTATGAGAGGGTATTAGGTAATCTCACTTTTTCTGTTATCCCTTAAAAGACAAACTCTGACAAGAGGGTATCTATATTTTTTCAAACCAAATGAGCATATTAGTATTTTTGGTAAACTTCAAGGGTTGGTAGATGTTATGATTAGGAGGAGAGTGAATATAGCTTGCGTACAATAAACTAAGTGGACGGGTGAGAAAGCTAAGAAAATTGAGGACACCGGTTTTAAACTGTATTATAGTGGTAAGGATAGACGCAGGAATGGGATAGGAATCATAATTGTCAAGGGTCTTGTGGAGAATGTAGTGGTGATCATTAGGAAAGGGAATAGGATTATGTTAATTAAACTAGTAATTGGAGGGAATATAGTGAACGTTATTAGTGCGTACGCCCCGCAAGTAGGATCAGATGATCAGACTAAAAGGGATTTTTTGGAGCAAATGGATGAGATCTTACAGGAGATACTCGTAGGAGAGAACCTGATTATAGGCGGAGATTTTAATGGCCATGTAGGCATAGATAAATTAGGCTATGAAAGGATGCAAGGTGGATACGGTTTTGGTCACAGAAATGAGACTGGAGAGAGTATCTTAGATTTTGCGTTGGCTTCTGACCTGGTGGTGGCCAATACTATGTATGAGAAGAGAGAGGAGCATTTGATAACCTTTAAGAGTGGGTCAGTTAAGAGCCAAATAGTTCTTAGCTTAGTGAGAAAAGTGGACTGCCTAAAATGCAATGATTGTAAGGTGATTACTGGAGAGAGCCTGACCTCTCAACATAGGATTTTGATACTAGATTTATTCTTTAAAATGTGGGACCTAAAAGTGGTTAAAAGGGTGGGTGTCGTAGGATGAGATGGTAGGACCTAAAAAGGGTTAAACTAGAAATATTTAAGAATAAAATGGATAAGGAAGGTACTTGGGACAAGGAAGGTACTTGGGACTTGGAAGATGATGCTAACACTGTGTGGAACTCGATGGCCAATTGTATGAAGAAAATCTCAAGGGAAGTGCTTGGAGAGTCGAAAGGAACGAGACCTAACTCTAGGGAAACTTGGTGGTGGAAAGAAGAGGTTCAAGCGGTAGTTAAGGCAAAAAAATAGTGCTTTAAAAAGTGGCAGAATGATAGAACTAAGGAAAACCTTAAGAGCTATAGATTGGCTAATAAGGATGTCAAGAAAGTAGTGAGAGAGGCTAAGTTAAAAGCTTATAATGACCTATACACTAAACTAGATAGTAAGGAGGGCGAGAAGAGGGTATACAAACTTGCTAAGATACGGGAGAAGAAAATAAAAGATTTTAATCAAGTTAAATGCATCAAGAGTGAGGATTCTAAGTCATTGGTGAAGGACAAAGAGATTAAGGAAAAATGGAAGAACTATTTTGAGAAACTATTAAATGAGGAATATAGAGGTACGAGAATAAGGTAAAAAATAGCCAGTAATACGATAAATCGAGACTATAGGTTCTATCGCAAGATTAGGAACTTTGAAATGTAGATTGCACTTAAGAAGATGAAATCAAATAAGGCTATGGGACTCGATGATATCCTTATTGAAGCTCGGAAGTGTTTGGGTAAAAAGAGAATTGCTTGGTTCACTAAGTTGTTTAGCAAAATTTTGTTGACTAAGAACATGCCAAATAAGTGGAGGAAGAGTATTTTCGTGCCAATCTATAAGAATAAAGGAGATGTCCAGAATT